CTGAAGTTTTACTTCAGTTGTATATTTGAGAGAGAAAAATCCAGAGCTATACGAAAGGAAAGATTATCACAGTTCTCCTGGTGAGCATTTTGACTTCGGTAAAAGTCCACAAAGGAAATGCTGTTCTCAGGTGACTGAGGATTCCCATTTGAAAATTAGTGCATCTCCTGAAGGCACCAGATGTCAACCAGCAGAAGTCCTGGTAAATTCTAAATGAAAACATTAAATGATAATTGTGTTGTCATTAAAAATTACCCAACAGTAGATCCTTCAAGCAAACAATGAAGTATATTTGTATAAACAGTGTTGTAAATGCTAGCGTGTATTTCAAAGTGGAAGCAGAGATTGAGGGGAATTTTTTGCTTTAGCTGTTTCTAGAGCTTTAAGCAGTCTGTAAAGATTCTTTCTACAGAAGTATTTCTTTACAGAACCTATAGATACAGCAGTAGAGAAAAATCAACAGCAGCAGTACCAACAATTCTGTCTTATTGCCTTCACTGAGCACATCTATGTCTAGCTAAAATCTTTTGTAGGTTTTTGCTTGACCCTTTCAAGAATGGAGGTTTTGTGAGCCTTCTTTTCCAGTGTGAGCACCCAACTTGCATGGCCGAGTTACCACATTAGCTACAAAAAGTTTCCTTTGCCTGTCTAAGGTGTTCATCTCCCTGGTAACTGCATTCCCTATGTTCATATGTTCACTGCCACGGGAAATGTCTTTATTTTTCGTAGGATCATTTTTCTACTATTTATTAATAGGGTTGTGCTTAAATAAATTTATTTTGTGTATTATTATTGTTCTTGTTGCACAGGAAAGCTTCTGTGGGACATCTGTCATTGTGCCAGAGCTTGAAGGGGCCCTTTATTTAAAAGATGATGGAAAAAAGTCCTGGAAGAGGCGTTACTTTCTTCTACGAGCTTCTGGAATTTATTATGTACCCAAAGGAAAAACCAAGGTCAGGAAGCCAAATAATCCTTTTAGCAATAAAACAATTCATGGAGGTGAAAGTGAAGAACTCCCAAGGTGACATTGCAAGAGCACTGTCTGGTGCATCTGAGAGGGTTGGGGGTTTTTTTTGGTTTAGCTTTGACTACACCACTTGTGCAAATATTAGAATGTCACTGAATCCTGTCACATTTCTCTCCTTTTGATTTCTATGGATAGATAAAAGCATTAATGAAATAGCACTCCTCCGGAAGTCAGCAGGGGAAAGAAAAACAGCACAGCACCTTCAGCTGGTGGTGTGCTGTCAAAATGCTTCACTATTACATGGGGTCCCTGTGGAAGAATATTTTGAAAGTTCTCAAGTAAACTAATTTCTTATCACAAAAAAGGTGGAATTTTACTTTGTTTGATACTGACTTTCTGTTGCACATGAGGGTAGCTGGCTTCTCATTTCCACAGTGATGAGGTAGAATGGTGGTTTCTGGGACTGGTGGTTTGGTGTTGTTTTTGGTTTTTTGGGGGGGCTTTTTTGTATTCTGAAAACCACTTCTGTTACCACTTACAGCTCTGCTAATGCTTCATATTTGAAAATTCTGGTGCTGCTCATGGAGCTTTACTGTTAGGATTTGTGCTGTGAAACTTAACTGTTCTGCTATTCCCTGACTAAATTACAAAGACAAAAAAAAATTGATAGCTTATAAAAGAGTGCCATGCTGCTCCTCCAGGGACCTATGTTTATAACCAAATCTCAGACCTAGATTACCTTGCTGCTTTCACAGCAATTTATTTTGACTTTACCTGACCCTGAGATAACAGCTTTCTGTCTTCAAATCATGTTGCACACACACAACATGCTATCAATTAGGAACTAGAATGCTATTTGGATGGCACTTAAGGTGGAAAGAATAGAAGAATGGTTAAACGAAAAGTCCATCTTGGATATTTCCTTGTAGCCTGCCTCCGACGATGGCCAGTAGCACAGTGCCAAAGCAAGGCAAGCATATACTGATAGTTGCCCAGCCTTTTTTCATCATCCAGTGATACCCATTTCAGTGACTTTCCATCATAGTGCAAACGAGGAAAGTGCTTTCTTTTTTCAGGTGATAGACTGCAGACATAGTCTCAGGATGGAGCCATGCCGTCACCTTGTAACAACTGTTTAACACTTTATTGCCTGTTAGTCATTACAGCCCGTGTACCACCCTGACTATAACTGAGCCATTTTAAGGAACTGTGTGAGAGCTTTAAACTCACTATATTACCAACTCAGCCACTCACAGATATTGAGGGCCTTGAATCTAGTTCTTTCGGAGATAGTCACAGCCCTTTAAAATGCTACCACAATCAACTGTTTGCTCTTGTGTCTGTAACAGCCTTCAGCAGAAGGATGCATATGTCCATGCTTCAACCATTCCAGAGAAGGTCAAGTCTTCTAGCTCAAATCTGTGTTTAATGGTGATTTAAGTTAGTTACTGGACTCTGTATTGGAACAGCTGAGGTTCAGGTTCACGTCTTTTGTGGAGACAGTAATCTCTGGTAGATGAGCAGGGTGCAGTGAGGATGCTAAACATCTTAAAGCGCTGCAGCAGAATTGAGTAGAGCTCTTCAGTCAAAGCCCTTAAATTATGACAGTTCATCTCACGTCAGGGCGGTATGAAGAGCGCACATGCACCTTGCTGAAGTCATTCGGTTGTGGGTAGAGTGATCTTTCATTGAGGTTTAGAAACAAACAGTTGGTGGACAATAATATCTTCAGCTGCTGCAGCTGTTTTGAAATTCATCATGTAATCATATTTTCACTTGTTATAAAAAAGCAAAGCAGTCTGGCATACCTTTGACACTTTATGTTGGCTGTAAAATACATTGCAAACATGTGAAAATACAAGGACACATTTGGATAATTTTACACACATGCCTTTGGTGTTTTTTGTTGCTTGGGGTTTTTTCGTTAACAAACCAGGCACCAGTCAGCACTGCTGTCTTAATTTCTTTCCTCAGCATTAGTCTACTTATATCTCATTCAAAAATATGCTGTTAGTGGACAGGGTCACAAAATAACAGAATCAAAATTGCAAACACAATTTTAAAAATTGTTTCTGTTAATTGTGTTGCGTTGTCATGTTAACATTGCAGAAATACTAGCAATTAGCGCCTTTGTCCCTTGCATAAAAATTTGTTCCTTACTAAGAAGAAAATAACAGCTGCATTCATATTGGTCATAATTGTCATTACCTGGTTTGTAAAGGACAGGACCATCTCATTATACTGCATGGATCTGAGCACATTTAGGAACTTACAGTGTTGGAAGATCCTAGGTCCACACAGTCAATGACAAAATCCCTGACATCAACTTAAAGAGAGAAGCCCTATCTACATATAGTATGGTGTGTTTCTTCTCCCCATAAATCTTACTTGCAAACTGAATTTGTAAATAAACCCAACTCAAGGATTTGTTTGTAATGAAAGTATCAATAAGAATGAGAACAGCATAGAAGAACCATCATATGCAGAAATATAAACCCATTCTTAAGGGTAGAGAGGCTTTGTAGTTTGTTATTTTATTTTTTCTTTTTTTTCACAGTTTCCTGATTTCTCAGTTTAGCCAACAGTGACCATGTGACATGGCCATTTTTGCATTTCCCCTCAAAGGATTGCAAAAGTTATGCTTTGTATGCAGAATTCTGCACTGAGAAGTGTGCCAGCAACAGAAACCTTGTTACTTTAGCAACATATTGTGAACAAGCAAATATTATGATAAACAGAAAAGGAATGATGCCAGGAAATTTGAGACAATTCAAAGCAAAACAGGTGAAATATGTGCTTATTACCAGATGGGAGTTTGTTTGTTACGTATACCAAATAAAAACAATCTCCCAAAGCAATTTAGAATCCCAAACCTTCTTTCTGCACTCAGAATTGTAAGGGTGTGGTTGCAAGGCCTGTATCTATTTTACTGAAGTTATTTCTTACTATGGTGTTCTATTTGGTCATCTCAGCCATAAGCCAAAATCTCCACACAAAGCAATAAAGCACAGCAAAACCAGAACAGCAGCAAAATGTTGCACTGTGTTATATATTATTCCTATATATACTGACCCTCTTCCAATTGTCAATTTAAGAATGCGCACTCTTAAAATTCATCTTTCTTCAGTCAACTTCACAACAGTTAAAAAAATAAAAAGCATTGACATTCATGCACCTGAAAAAAGTCCTGTTGATGAGTTTCATATCAAAATTCAATTTGTTCTAACAATGACATGTTTGGTTTTCATTTATAGACATCACGGGATCTGGCATGCTTCATTCAATTTGAGAATATGAATGTTTATTATGGTTCTCAACACAAAGTGAAATATAAGGCACCTACAGATCACTGCTTTGTCTTAAAGGTAATGTACAATAAAAATAAGTTCTGCAAATGACACACACAGTTACTTTTCTATGTTAACATGTTTAGTTTGAAGCTCCAGGGACCCTGATGAGATGGAATAGCTCCTGCAAAATCATGTCTGTTTTCTTCTTCACTTCATTGTTGATCAGCAACAAACCTTTAGAACCTTATTTTTAAGTACTGGTAGTCCTATGATATATGTCTACACTGCATCTATAAAGTTGTCTTCAAAACAAGCCTGAATATGCTTCCAGTGACTGACTGTTCAGGTGACTGAACACATCTGGACAAATGGCACACAAGGCAGATGTATGACGAGAAGACTGGAGTCCCTAATGTTGATGTTATGAGCACTATGGACTATATATAATAAAAGTACGTCTACTTTTTATTTGCAGTGTAGTGATACCTGTTGAGTGGTTTGTTGAACTGAGATGCAAAATCTTGCAGGAATAGACATCTCAAATGGCGTATTTTATTGCACAACTGTTTGTCACAGGAGGGCAAAAGACATTGTTCACCTGCTCATGAAAATCAGTGCTTGCTGTTGAAGTTAAGTATCTCATTGCTGCCTCTCCAGGTAAGAGCACTGCAAATAGGCTGGGAATTCTGCATTCCTCTCAGGAAACGAAAAGAAGCCTATGCCTTTCACATAGTTCAGATATCAGAAATGAAGATTTGAGGTTGCAGTAATTAGACCTTGACTGCTATCTGTCATTAATACAGATCTTAGAATACAGTGGGATTACTACGTACAAGACAGAAGATAATCTTGTTGCTGTTTTTCTATTTAAAGGCCTGCAGTGCAAACAAGATACTAGAAAACACAGTATCTTGCTATCTCAGGAAAAAAATGCAGGAAACATTCACATCAGAGGTCACTTCTAATACCACATTTCTGGCTGTAGCTGCACACTTACAGCTCTTTTTTATTCAGTTTCAAAATGTCTGGTAGACTAATTTACACATGGCCAAGCAGAAGTGGTTTATAGACCCAGACTTATTTTCTGAAGCAGATGTGTCTAATTAACACAGATAAGCAGTTTTAATACTATAGTTCTTTGCTAAGTGCTCTGCAAAAAGCACTTTATCCTTTTTTGTAAAACAGGAGTGAGCCTTCTGAAGTTAACAGGTAAGCATGAATTCTGAAAAATACAACTGATAATGAAAAAAAAGAAAAAGGGGAGCTGATTTAAAAAATAAGGAGAAATTGATTTTCTAAACAGATGACTGGTCAAAGCAGTATCTGACTAATTTAATAACAGTTATTCAAGTTCTGTTCAGATGAAAATACAAGCATGATTTTTTGAAGTGTATGTAGCAATGTGTTTAACTGTTCACAACGATTAGGAAAACTTTCTGGACTTACTGCCATCTTTTGTGAAAAGAGTTATGCTCTAAATAAGAACTTACACCAAAAAAAGTCACAACTCAACTAAAATACTTGCGTTATTGGATGTGTGATGTTAGCACTGTACCCTCAATGTGAAATGTGAAGAACAAGATCAAAAGCTCGCTAGGGAAAGCTTTATGTGTAATAGGCTTATAGATCTATGAAACTGACTTAGCAAAAATGTTTGCTCTGATGCTCCTAAAATGTGTTTGTGGTATACTAGAATAAACATCATATTGATAAGATCATTATATCCATGCAACACTACTTAGGGATGAATAGATTATGTTACAGTGAGTGTTCTTCATTTTAATTCCAACAAATTGGCATTTGGTAGATTCCCGACTGGCTCGGTTTCAGACTTGGCTTCTTTTAACAGCTGTCTCTTGCAGTGGCAGGAGTTGGTCAGGAAGTATGGGGAAGTATTAATATCTTCAAATCTTCTGTAGTTTCAAAAGGGGAAGCCTCCCACTTAAGGTGGCTTCCTGAGGGTGATGCAATGCAGAGTTTCATGTTTATTATAATTTCTGTACATTAATTTGAATTCTGTGTACCTTTTTGAAGGCATGCAGCTGAGATGAGTTCTGTCATATCCTGGTCTTATCTTTGGAGGTTGGAGCTGAGGATGTAATACATCTTGAGATCTGTGGGTTGAGGGAAGGAGCAAAGTTAAATGTTGGTCCCTCTGATTAGATGCTTGGTGACATGAAAGTGTGTGGACAGAAACACAGAGACACTTACTACGCTTAGTCACATTTTGTTCCTGTCTGGTTTTATATGGAAGTCTCCCAGAAGAAAGTATCTCTCTTTCTGGGAGGCACTTGTCCTAAGATGTCAAAGGAAAACAAACCATCATCCTTGAGGTATATCTTATCCTGCCATATTTTGAGAATAAAGTCCTCAAGGTGAAATGACAGTACTTTTGCAGACAGGTGCAGTGAGCAAAAGGCAATAGATTTAACAGCTACACGTTTGTCTCTGTTATACTGGTAACCTAGTAATTTTGAAGGAACTTGGATGCCGAGCTCAGTCCAAGCCAGAGGGAAATTTCTCCACGGCCAAGGCTGCACTGCTGTGTCTTCACACCTCTTCCATTCCTCTGTGTGTGCCTCGGGACAATGAGCTCTGCAGAGGTTCTCTTACTTGTTTGTGTTGGCTGCAGGAGAAGATTATGTGTCTTTAAAGCAAATGGGGAAAAGTAATTGGAAGAGTAGCAGCCATAGCCCATGCTAGCTGTTCACTGAGGATGGCTGTAAATCAAAGGAGATTTTCACGTTTTGGAAAATAGGTTAGTCTGCAAGCCTTATTAGCTAAGCTGTAACACCACTTGGAAAGTTTTTGAATAATAGCATACTACTACATTTTTTCAAGAATTGTTGCTTTCTGAGGACCCCTTTAGGAACTGCTGTGTCAAAACAGTCAGCAGTCATCACCCAAGTTGCTTGCTCTGGTATGTTTCAAATTTAACAAAAGAAACTGCTCAGCTCAGAGGCAAGAGACCACCTTGTACTTTATAGTGCAGGACAAATGCGAGCTTCAGCTTGCAGCTTCAGCAGTATCTTGCTTCTGTACTAGGTGGAAAAGCCTGCTGAATTCAGAACCAGACATAACTTCCCAGCTTTGAGCGTTGACTTGAAAAAATATGGTATTTATTTCTGACTAGTTAAGCTAATTGGCATCCTTACTTCAAGAACAGGAGAATGCCCTTTGTTCATTCAAATGACAGCAAATGGCCAGTGAGGTGGGCTGATTTGGAGCGGAATATGTCCTCATGCTTGAAGGAAGCATCCCGTCTTTTCCTCCAGTCCCCATTTGAATGATGAGCCTTCTAAACAAATAGCTAGGCTAAAACCAGTAACATTTGTACCTACCTTCAAAAGTCCTGTCTCATATTAGCAGGGAGAACTTTTTGCCTCCCCTCAATCTTCGTCATCTTTATGGTGTGTCTTTATGGAGTGAAGAGCCCTCAAGAGATATTATGAGAACGAGCAGAGCATCCCTGCCATTTTTGTGTCTATGTGCCAGGCATCACCAAGAACTTATGGGAAAGAAGGACCCTATAACTAATGTTAATCACAACCCTGGTGACTTGGTTTGGGCTAGAACAATGATATGTCTCAGGTTGTCTGACACTGCCCTGAACTATATGGGCTTTTGTCTCAAAGTCTTCATGACATTTCTTTGAATGTTGCTTCACCTTGATCTCTCTAAATGGGATGTGGGCTTTTTTTCCAGTTTCTTCTCTTAGGCTACAGTCAAATGAGGGGCTCACAAACACAGTGAGCCTTTGGTCCTAGTGCCTGTCCCAACTAACATGCATCCTATCGCTGGGAGCTGGCAGCTCCCTCTCTCCTGTTTCTTTTTTAATCTAGCCATTTAATTTCAACTTCAGAGGTCATACCTGGGTTACTTAGCTGATGCTGGCTTGGGTACTGGTGTTAGTGTAGCAACAACAAGATCATGCACATCATGGGCAGGTTGCTTTGATACTTAGAAGCTGGGGTAGGTTTTGCAGCCTGTGATGTTGGAGCTGCACCTAGATTAGCGATTTTAAACTAGTTCAGATATAAATGTAATTGTCAGCAGATCCGCCCTGTAGGATGTTCCTCTTACAGCTAGAGAAGCATGATGTGTTATGAGTGCTCCTTGCCTATAATTTCTTCCCATTACATCAGTACCCCATTGTATATACTGTAGCTCAGAACAAAAATGCGGTGGTTTTTTGCTTATTTGTTAACCATCAAGACACTGAGGAGATAATGGAGAAAAGGGTGGTGTGCAAGAAACAATTCAAAAGCATATCACAGTGTCTACCAGCAAAAGAGACCGCACTTTGCTGAGCTTATTCAGGAGTTTCCTTTCAGGATGATTCAGGAGACAACTGCAGTAACTGAACAAAGCACTTGCTTCCTCAAATCAGCTCCTCTCAGGCAGCAGAAAGCCCAGCTGGGACCAACTGAAAAGAGCACAGCTGGCTGGTTGGTGTCAGAGAGCAGGGTCACCTTTAGCTGTCCCCGTGCAGCAAACCAGAACCGATGTGGCTGGCTCCTGAGGGTGAGTGCAGTCTGGCACAGAGGCTCTGATGGAGTTGGCTTTCAGGAATCCTTAGGCTTTGGGGCAACTATAAAACTTGAAGAACTGTTTTATTTCCCAGTAGCTACTTGATCTGTGCTGAGCTATAACCTTCTTAAATTGAATTGTTCTATACCACTGCTAAACAAGCCTTCCTCCCTCAAAGGAGGTCTCGTATTTGAAAAACAAAAAACAATTGAAAGAACTCTCAACATATTAAAAATAGAGCTTCTGAATAAAATAAATAGTTTTGGTACATCTGCTTGTGTAAACCTGCAGATTCTTCCTATTTTCTGCTCAGCCTAAATGTAATGCTTACCAGAATTTAAAGATCCCACCCTTCACTTTGACATCAGATAAAGTGAGTCTTTTCTTAATAGAGACCTCCATATGCAGAAAAGAGGAAAGGAAAGGGCAGCTGAGTGTGAAGGAAGACACTCACTTAAACCTGCATCTGTCAAGGTCAAATCTGTCCCTCTGTTCCAGGCAGAGGAGGCAGGAGAGGGTAGCAGCATGGACCTCCCCGCCACCCT